GTATTTCAATTATTATTAATATTCCTTTTTTTTCCTTTTTGCTTGGAAATATAAAAGGCAGTGGCATGTGCAGTGCACATGCATCATGAACTTTGGACCTACTTCTGTTCTGATTTGATCTCTCCAATAAATTATTAGTTAAGAAAAAAAAAATCATTCTCCCAACGGATCATTTTAAGTTTATTTTATTTTATTTTTAATTTTAAATTCATACCAGACCTAAAATTAAGATTATTGAAAATGAGACATTTCTATTTAGATAATTAAAAAAACCAAAAAGTGATAGTAAAACCTAAATACATTTTTAATAATTCAATTACTCGCGACAATGTTAGTAAAAAGTAAAATTATCGATGAATGTCGTAACCGGCGTTTCATCTCTTTTCAAATGATAAAAGAAAAAAAAGTTTTTCTACCTTTAAAAACTCTCAAATTTGAATATCGAAGATATTTTTCCTTATAAATTTGATTTCGACCTTAATCGATAATTAAATTCATGACCTCATGCACTTATTTCACATCAATTCAAACATACTATATAAAGTGAAACGACAATGCCCCAAGTGATTCAAGTGCAATAATGGAAACTCAAAATTAGTAAATAGAAACTATTAAATCAGAAAAAAAAACACACACCACATTAGAAAATCAATGAAGCAACAAATTGGTAATAAAATAAAAGAATTTATATTTGAATTAAATTTCACCAAAAAGAAAAAGAAAGACACTGCCATCCTCCACATGGCCATTTACATCTCCAAGTATCAAAATAGAGAGATAGAAAAGAAAAAGAAAAACAAAATGTGTGTTTTTTTTTAATATTATAATATAATATAGATTTTTTTTTTTATTTTTTATTTTTGGGTGTGGTTTCCTTTCTTTTTTTTCTTTTTTTTTTATTTTTACTTTTTACCATTGGGCCTGGGGGTTGGGCCTATTGGGCCTCAGGAGAGAAAAACTTCAACACTGGAATTTCTGAAGGCCCGGCAAATAGGGCAGGCCCGAACCACTTGATCGCAATCCGTACAAACGCATAAGTGCCGACACGGCAGAAGAACCACCGACGCAACTCGCTTCCGACACACTTTGCAACTCGGTCCTGACCCGGCCGCGACTCGCTCCGGGTCAACGTACGCTGACTCGGCGTCCTCCGCCGCCCCCACCGTGCAGTCTCCGCCGCCCTCTCCTCCGCCGCCCATTCCGGCGCCGCGCATTACCGCCTGCTGTAGTTGGGCCTGCAGCGCCGCCGCTGCCGCCTCCTGCGCCCTCGCCTTCGCCTGCCACGCCTGCGCCTCCATGCTCACCCGGGCGGCGCGTGCCTCCAACTCCGCGTTCCGGCGAGTGGCCTTCTCCACTTCCGTTTCTTTTTCCCGCAATTTCCTCGCCGCCGTCTCCTCCGCCGCTCCCACCAGCTCCCGGAAGTGCCTCTGCCTCTTCTCCGCCAACGCCCGCCGCAGCTCCTCCTCCTAATCAAACCCCAAAACCCAAAATTCAAAATCAATTTCTCCTTTTTTCCCTTAAAAATTCAATTTCCCATCTGGGTATTTCAAATCCGTACCTGGGCTTGAAGAATCTGGTCAATCTCATCCCTCTGTTGCTTGATATGGGATGCGAAATCGCTAGACAATAAAACAGAGGAAGAGAGAGAAACAAGATTATTCTCATTCATCGCCGGCGGGTGCTGGTGGAGCTTATGTTGTTGGTCGCCGGAGGACAGCCGGAGGCCGGTGGAGACGACATTGGAGGATTGGTGGTGGCTATGGAGCTGAGAAATCTCAATAATTTGAGATTGGTGATGAAAACAGAGAGGATGATTGATAATGGTGGGAGCTGAAACTGAAACATCTCTTCCTCTTTTCCTCAAATTCATATTATTATCATTCCCACCTGATTAAAAATCAAAACCCATCATCCAAAATCAACCAATTCAAACAAAAGATCTGAAACTGAAACTGAATTTGAAGACCGACCTCCATTGTTGAAGAGAAGATGGGGGTGTGGAAGAACTCCTCCAGCTGCTACTACTCCACCAGGTTGAGGCTGTAATGAAAAATCATGATCTTCTTGAATGTTTCTGCAAATTATGAAAACAGATCAAAAACCGAAAGCCCAGAATCAAAATCTGGGATTGAGAAACAGAGGAAAATTTGGGGAACCTGTTGAGGAGGAGGACATTGGAAGGGTATTGAGCTTGAACTGCCATTGGAATTGAGAGCAAAAAGAGAGATGGGTTGTGTTTGTATATATGGAATATATATAAAAGGGGGGATTTTTAGAGAGAGAAAGTGGAGGAGAGAGAGGGGGAGGCAAGAACAATAAAGGCTACCACAGAAGAAGCATGAAAGAGGAGAGGGGGGAAGATGCCTCAAATTCAAGGGCGGATTCTTCAATGAGAGAGAGAGAAAAAGGACAAGATATATATATATATATATATATATATATATATATATGGTTGTGTGAAGGGGATTAATATATTTGGCCGCCGGGAGAGGTGGTTGCCGGCGGCGGCGCCACCGTGGGTGGTGGTGGTTGTACTTTGAACTTCTTCTGTGTGTGGTATTTGTGTTTATCTGTGACGAATGAGTTATAGTTTTGAAATTTAATGTGTGTGTTGATGGGGTGGGGCCAAGTAGGGTTGGGAGAGAATGGCCTTTTCTTAAGGACTCATCATCTTTTCTTTTCTTTTCACCCATTCCAATACCAATATATAATCAATTAATCTCTCTCATATCTTCCAACATAATGTATATATACATATATATGTATAATACTAGTAGTATAGGTTCTGTTGATGCGTGGATTTCGGTCCTCCGGTTCATTACCTCGCATCCACCAAACTTGTTGATCCGAGACTAGTACCTGCAAAATCAAATCGAGCTAAACCGGTGTGACTCTAGTCACACGGGCTCCGATGCTTAAGTTAGCAAGAGAATAACGTAAATGTAGTCAACTATCTTTCGTCATACCTCTAAGGCTGGATCAATACTTATAACGTGAAGTTGTTCCAGAATCTTCCGTAGCTAACCCTAATTCACCGTTGCAGGGCCTGGGCGACATCGTCGATCGAAGACGGGGGATCACTGGCTGGGCCGTGGGCCGAGCCCCGGGTCGGGGCCGAGCCCTTCGTGGCTCAGTGGGCTTCCCTCTGGTCGCTTTCCTCGTTCTCTGCCCCGGCGTTAGGTCACTCTTTTGGCCAATAATAAAGTTATTAATGACTGGACGAAACCAAGAAAGAACCCCTCACGTGCGAAATGAGAGAAGATCCCCTTACAACAATAAGGATCAAACAATTCCATCGAATTGAGTATGATTGTATGTGTGATAGCATCTACTATACCAGGAATATCAATTAACCTATTTTGGCTTTTGCCATATGATTTTCTACCCGTGGGTTTCGTTGATCGGTTAGGCTTGCCTGTTTTCTGTTTTAACCTTGCTGGGCCCGTACGCATGCCTTTCTCAGCACCTCGGGATTCTTTTCCCTGGTTTCACTGATTGGCTTTCAGYTTATCGRCCTGCTTYTAGGTCCGTCCYAATTTTGAGTTCCTTGATTGGTCGTAGATATGTAGATGTTCAGGTCGTAGATATGTAGATATTTATATGATGCCCCCTGCTTGAGAAATTTATTTCAGAATGAACATAAGAACTCAAGTATCACGTYGAACGTYGAATACTTTATTAGTAGGAAAATCRTCMTGTCRAAGATTTKGTYACAATAAGCTTAGTTGGTCCAAATAATGGAGAAACATAAAAATGTCCAGAAATATGTCGAACTAGTGGTAGTATCTTTTGAGGTGTTGGGCGTGCCACG